CGTGCAGTTGCCGTACTGTATTAAAGCTTTAATCAGGATAAAACTGTATATTAAAAGCTAACATAAGCAGTAGCATTTACAAATAACAGCGTATCTAAAAGTATGAGACAACAACAAAAAACATAGGCCTATCAGCCCGTTTCTCAGAGAAGGGACAGAGCGGTGTGGAATAAAGGTAAATTATGTTTAAAAAACGAAGCATTAACACATGTTAGACTGCACCCCATAAACACAATCAAGCCTAGAAAAAACCCAGTGAACCACCCCTTTAAAAGATTGTTTGTGAATTTACTAAACAATGCTGTATTTCAGCACACTAACCAGCCACAAAATAGTTGAATAGTTGAGTGTTAAATGCCCTAAAATAGTATTGTCCTGTATTTAAATTCAGTAATTTCCATTATTTTCAGCAAAAAACACATCTTTTCAATATACATTAGACTAGTTATAGCTTGCACTAAAACTACTATTTGCCTAGCACATTTAACACAATTTTTATTGATCATGGCATCAGTAATTCATCAGATGATGGTATTATAATCACGCATACATACACAGTTCAAAAGCTGGGGGGTCAGTAAGAAATTAAAATACTTGTATCCACCAAGCATGCATTAAACTGATCAAAAGTGACAGTAAATGCATTTACAGTATACTGTTACAAATAAATGCTGTTTTATTGAACTTATCATTACAAAATGTCTGAAGGATCGTGTGACACTGAAGACTGGAGTAATGACTGCTGAAAATTCAGCTTTGCCATGACAGGAATCAATTACATTTTAAATTATGGTATTATTTAACAATATGACTGTATTTTTGATTAAAAATAAATGTAGCCTTGCTAAACATAAGTGACAAATGTATTAAAAAATAATAATAATTCTTAGTGAATTTCCCTGTCATCTTTCTTTAGTTGACATATTCTCATTTATGCAAAAAATGACTGCTTTTCATAGAACAGTGTCAACAAAAAAAAACAAATGAGAGTCCATCTTACTAAAGACACAACCTTAGACACAGGAAGTCATTCAGACTATAAGACATAAAGTATAAGTCAAAATAAAAAATGCTTCTTGTGCCACTCACAGCTGACACACACATACACACGCTGTCCTCTTCCAAACGCAACAGTGATGCAAGCAGACAGGGAGGACTGAGCCTGTATTTCAACAATGTGTGATGCATATTCTCCAAGGCTGTGGATGTCATTTATCTTTCAGATGAAAGAAACAGTGAAATATGTGTGCTTCCAAATTGGATGCCAGTTGAATTGAAGGTTGAGTACCACAAGACGCCGAAACATCCATCAAAACCTTTGGCTGGTAATACGTGTAGACACTAGACACTAATGGATGATTACATCAAAATGCAATTCCAAAAATGTTTTGACACATTTAGAGGGAAATTACTGCAAGTATTTTTGCTGGAAACATATTTGGTTAAACAACTATCATTCCAGATCAATTAGATTTTTAATTTTGTATCTTGTGTAATTATATCTTCTATTCTTAGGTGTACATGCTGCTCTTTCCCTTTTTGCTTCTCTCTCTTTCTTCTATCCCTTCCTTTCCTGTCCATCTGCAGCAAAGTGATGTTGCAGTTCAAAATTTCCTTGGTTGTTACAGAATCCTTCAGGGAAATGTGAACATTCCACTGTCGCTACTGTCTCCAGCGCTCAACTACACCAAAGTCCCTTTTAGGCAAGTCAGTTCACCTTGCTGCCTTTCTATTAATCAAGGAATCCTGAAAAAATGTGTCACAGTTTCCACAAAAATATTAAGCAGCACAACTGTTTTCAAAATTCATAATAATACTGAATGTTACTTGAGCACTAAATCAGCATATTAGAATGATTTCTGATGCATCATGTGACACTGAAGAATGCATTAAAAAAAATATTTAAATAGAAAACAGTTATTTTAAATTGGTATACTTCTTTTTTACTACTGTTTTACAAACAAATGCAGACTTTGTTCAAAAACATTAAAAAATCGAACAGATCCTAAACTTTTGAACGATAGTGTAGTATCTGCTCAAATCTACTTGTTGAGTAAACAAACAAGTACATGAAAATGGCAAATAGCACTGAAAGGTGGGACACCCTACAGCCTCCTTATTGAGTGTTACATTTCATTTTTACTTTAATTTTTCTGTGACTTATTCGTCCCCTCCCCCTTATACTGTCCCTGGCTACACATACAGCCTCCTGACCTCAGAACATCCCTTCCAACAAATAATTCCACTTAACAAAATGCTGCCTCACTCAACAATAAATCTAAAATGATTTAGTAATAAATAGCAGTTGAATATCTGATAATAATGTGAAATGCCTTGTGCCAAACATCCACAGAAAGGAAGAGAGTAGAAAGAGGACTGAACAAAATAAATAAATACATAAGAGAAATAATACGGGAAGTGAGGGCAAGGTCTATGACATGTGAGGTTCAAAAGTCTCAGACCAATGGGAAGATCTGGGAAACAGAATCTATGTTAATCCCAGAAACAAACAAAAAAAAAATTAGGTCATTAATTAAATAATGATAGATAGATAGATAGATAGATAGATAGAATGCCCAAATTAATTTTTATTTGAATACAATTCTCAGATATATATTGTGTATATTCTCAGCCCTATATGGAAACACTACACCATCAATAAACCATCTCAAAATGTATTTTGCATGTATTTCTCTTCCTGTGGTTCACCACACTGACTCTAGGGGGTGCTGTTGCTGTGACTGTAACTTGCTAAATTGTATTAATGTTTAATAGTGGCGCTTTTGGTTTGCAGGATTGCTTAGTGGTACTGAACTCAAGTCTGCCTGACACAGCTCGAACTTAAATACTTAAGTATGAATGATCTCATAGGGCACAATCTCAAATGGGACTGCACTAATAAGGATAACCATCAACTGACATTATTTTTTAATCTCTGCTCTTTGATAATGTTAGTGCTACCTCATTCTCTCATTCACACCTTCCTTTGTGACCTGTATCTGTTGGCTGTGCATGCATTCCTCTCAGCGTAGTTTGTCTATTAACAAATAGCAGATTTATCGCGGCTATATTAACTGAGGATTTCCATAAGCTTTTTTTTTTAGAAAGCAACTGTCCGCAATGGCCTGATAAAATCACTCACTATAAGTGCTGGTAATCTTTCATTACATTTCACTAAAGGCAAATTTCACTTCATTTCATAGTTCAGAGACGGGTATGGAGGTTGGGAAGGAAAATAGTCTGAAATTGTTCATGAAGTACAGTATTTGACATACACAAACTAAACTTAGACATCACATGAATAAATTGCAATTTAAAATGTATGAAAATAGAAAACTTGATGTTTTTTTAAACTGTAATAGGATTTCACAATACTGCTGTTTTCTATGGTATGGTGAGCATAAGAGACTTCTTTTAAAAACATTTTTTTTAAATCCTAATTATTCGAAAAAAAAGTATTTACACATTTATATTTGTGCATGCATATCACAAAATAATATCATAATATGTTTTAAATTCATGCCTGTTTAGTTGGCCGTAGGTGCAGAGAATATACACATTAAGGAAGTCTGCATGTGCACATTTAAGCACATTTTGATATTTGCAGCAGTGCTAATGTTTTTATCTCCTGTGCACTTAATGCCCTGTGTTCTGAGGAATAGCTGTATGCACTATTGTAAATCTTTTATAAATATGATGACACTCTATGTGGACTTCACTCCGTCATTTTAGGCCTAATGGACATGCGGGCGGGGTTGTGCTGTAGGGTTTCTTCACTTCTCTCTCCTTTTAGTATGGGAAACTCGTATCTCTCTACCACTCAGGGTGCTTGCCAGCTCTGCCCTTCCCCCTGCTCCCTCTCTCTCTCTCATACACCATCTTTCTTTCTTTCTCCCTCCACCCTCCCTCTGTTTCCTGCTGCTGCTTGAGTGCTCTGCCTGGCAACACCTCTCAGCGGCCTGCCTGCTGTCTGCTGCTCCCCATCATGGAGAGAGAGACAGAAAGATGTGCAGGAAAAAGAACTACAGGGCATTGGAGACACATTTATTGTGGTAACAAAAATGTCTGAAATTCTGGGTGCTGCAAGAATGTTACAATGATTCATAAGGAAATTGTAGTACATGGTGATAATTAATATGCAATGTCCGAGAAATAATTGAGACGTGACCTCTGGAATTGCTGTACTGTTGCTTAAAGGGATAGTTCACCCAAAAATGAAAACTCTGTTATAATTTACTCACCCTCATGTCGTTTCAAACCTGTATGATTTTCTTTCCTCTGTGGAACACAAAAAAATGATATTGAATGGACGTTACACACACAGAAAATATTTGATGATGACAGAATATTCATTTTTGGGTGAATGATCCCTTTAGGTATTTTAACTGTCTAATAAACTCATATTAGTTTAATAGTAAAACTATTATACTATATATACAGACAAGTTTTGGTAGCCATAGATATCTACAACGGGGGAAAAAACTTTATTAGCAACTCTCGTTGTTGAGAAATTTTCTTGACAATGACAAATTACCTAGTTGCTAGGATACAAGTCATGTTGATTGTGACAGTAATTCAGTAAAGACACACTATCAGACCCAAAAAAACTGAGAATAAGTGAAACTTCCTACATCTTCTGAAGGCAAAGCCACTGAAGGTTCATCTGAAAGATTCAACATTTATCAGAATGTCATCATACTGTCCAAGACTAAGAACATAGAGATTTCCTATTTTTGGGAGGTGCTGAACTGAACACAATGTAGATATGAAGTTTCAGTTCAGGCCAGCACTTCCGCAAGAGATTATGACTTGCGATCAAAAAACACCAGAATCCTCTTATAACCAGAAATGGAACAAGGTTCTTGTAAATTCTATGATTCTAATAATTACTGAAGAAATGAAATTTAAAGACCTACAATTATAAAGAAGAAGTCACAGAGAAAAATAAAACTGATCAGGAACAAAGCTGAGAGGACAAGAGGAACAACTGTAGAGGTGGGAAATGATTGCAGTGTGGAAGGGAAGGAGCTTTTAAAAGGATGGACAGGAGTGGATAAACTCCTATGGCACCATAAAGTGGGCAGAATCAGAGTTACATGGTAGAGGGTAGTGAGTATGAGAGAAGGAGTGAGGAAGGACAGAAATTGTGGAATAAGTTCAGATAATGATGAAAGTTTTCTGGAGAACAAATGATTATGAGGGCCAATCTAATCCGGTTTCAGCATCTCACTCTGGAAAAGACCACTGCGCCTCAATCAGACTGATATTCAATTCTGATATTCAAGTTGCAGTTCAATGAACCCTTGGGGAGAAGAAAGACAAGCCTACAGCCTAAAGACATGTGGAAGCCAGTATGCCGTACATTGTAAACCGCCGGTGTGGATAAACAGCCCAAAGGAAATTATCTCAAATCTCTCCTGAACTCCTTTCTTTATAGTCAGTGATTGACATGAAAGAATAGCTTAAGGCTGGAATACACTACACGACTTTTGCCCTGATTTATAGTTTGGATAAGTCGATGCTAGTTGCTGAAAGTCAGAGCCGGTCCACAGATTAGAGTTGACAGATTTCATAGAAAATTGCGTAGTGTATGATGGTCACAGACTCTGATTTTTTAGCTTCAAACTATGATTCCACCCAGTCGGAGGATATCAAACATGTTTGATATTTTCAGCTGATTTTAGAACACATTGTTTTCATTTGTCACGTGTCTCCTAGCAACAAGGTGCATGTTTCTGCGCGAGTTTGTTGTGATTGGAAGGACTTTAAAGTCTGGTAGTGTATGATCCTCAGTCGTTTAGTGCATGATGGCCAGTTTTCCTCTGTGACTATTTACAAAGGCGGTAAGTGTATGATGCCTAACGTTTTAAAATCTGTTCAGATTTTAAAAGTTGTGTAGTGTATTCGAGCCTTCAGACATACAAGTTGTACCTGGCAAGCTGGCCAAGTCTTTAGTGTAAATACACACACACACAAATAAAAGCTAAGAAACATAAATGCAGGTGTACAGCAATGTTTCCTGTGCACTGTGCAGCTACTGAATCTAGATTAAAACTACACAGAAAAATATTTTACACACAAATGTGTTAGCAGTCTGAATTAAATATGATTTGATAAAAAGACTGTGCACTGCAAAAGAGACATTTCTTCTTTATATTGAAACACACACACACACACAAAAACATACAGTGCCACCAATATTAAAATATAGAATATAAAAGAATAACAAAAAAAAAAATTTAATATAAAATATATAAAAAAATAAATAATAATGAAATAAATATAAATAAAATAAAATATATAATTACATGAAATTATATATTTAAGAAGAAAAAAGCATTGTTTAAAAAATAATTATTTAGGGAACACTGTCTGCTATACAATAAAACTGGACTAACTGGGTTATACAAGTGAAGACAGTAAGAAAACTATATGAATTAATGTAGGCTAATGGAGATGGCCTTTTCATGTAAATGTGTGTGTGTGTGTGCGTGTGCGTGCGTGCGTGTGTGTGTGTGCGTGCGTGCGTGCGTGCGTGCGTGCGTGTGTGTGTGTGTGTGTGTGTGTG